AGTATACTATAAAGCATGGCATGTAGCGGGTGTTGAAAAAATTGGAGATCTCTTCAACGGCAATACCTTTCTATCTCACCAAGACTTCTGCTCTTATTTTGGTCTTAAAACTAATTTTCTTACCTACTACGGTTTATGCAAAGCAATTCCTCCTAACTGGATCAAAATAATGAAAGGTAAATTACAACCGCCTTCGAATAAATCCATAAGTATGGATAGAATTCCCGTTGAGAAGCTTTCTTCTAAGCTTGCTACCAACTTTTTTGTTGAAAGGAAATTTGTTCCTGCCACCGCCAAAAAAAGACTCAGAAAAGCTAGTTTAAACGAACAGCAAATTTCTCAAATTTACAAGATGCCTTTCAGTGCTACGAAAGACATACAACTCTCAATGTTTCAGTTCAAGATCTTACACCACATCTTACCCACCAACGCTACATTATATAAATTCGGAATTAAGGAACATGACCGCTGTCATTTATGCGCTGAAAAGCAAACAATCACACACCTATTTGTGACTTGCCCCAATGCTCAGCTGTTTTGGACTCATTTTTCAGTTTGGTGGCGCGAAAAAAACAACATTGAGATCTCGCTTTCTGAAGCACAAACACTTTATGGCATTATAGACACCGTGCCTCAGTGTCTTGGTTTAAACCTCTGCTTGATAATTGCAAAATACTATATTTACACCGCGTCTAAAAATGAGGAAGATTATTTTTTTCGACGCTTTTTTGTCTATCCTTAAAAATAAAATACAAATTGAAACTAGCAAAGCAAAGGTGCAAGTCAAGCTGTAAAAATAATTTTCTTGATTCTGGCTAATTTCCCTTGTTTTTTGGCTTTTTTTGTTTTGTTTGTTTGTTTGTTATTTATTTATTTATTTATCTATTTTTTTGTCGTTTTTTACGTATTTACTCTTCGTTAATAGATAGTAAGTTAGTAATTAGTTGTATTAGAATTCTTTTTTCATTATTTTGTAACAGTCTCCAACTCATTGGCTCCTGTTTTGTAAGCATTATCTTGTAAGTTTATATTATGTAAGTATGTAGTATTTAACTTAGCAAGTTATATGTAAGTGGGTATTAAAGCTTTATGTAAGTAAGTAAGTACTATGTAAGTAAGTCAGCATTATGTTTGTAAAAACAATAAAAATTAAAAAAAAAAAAAAAAAAAAAAAAGTTTTGAAGACCTGTGCTTTGTTTTGTGAGCGACAAGTTGCTTTTTCTAAGTGCAAATGAAGTGGACATGAATCACTACTGCACACATAATTTATTAATGAGGAGGTTTTATTTAAAAAAATAGTGATAAATTGGACCCAAGCAAGTTTATCGTGAATTGGGGTTCAAGTGTTTTCTTCCCCTTTGGGAATTAAATTAATCAGTGTGTAACTTTATACAAGCATAAACGCAATCAAAAGCCAAAGCAAACCCAAACCAAGCTATTTCCCTTAAGGGACTGTTTTGCTAAAAAGGGCTAGTGTAACAGCACCTTATGTTTGTGGTATCTTTGCATCAAGAATATCATACTTGTCATTTGCTATTTAAAAAATTCTTTTTTTCAATTCAACATAATAAAGTGTGCAAGTTTTTTTTCTAGACTGCCTCATGTTCTGATAGATAGTGTAACTTTCAACCACTCCTGTATAGATGACTAAATGATCGCTGTAAATATTTGTTTTATTTAACTATTTTATAAGCTTATTGCTTAGTGTCTTCATCTGTTAACATTATATTTGCAAATAAAAATTTGTACTCTAGTTTAAGCAATTTCCTATCGTAGTTTAAGCTTAATTTTATTTGTCTTTGATTCTCAGAAATGCAATGATTAAATAAAAGTCCAATAAAGAAAGTTACGTGCCTGAAGGATATATTCAACATGAGGCTGAGTATCTTATGAAGAATTATTGAGATCGAGGATCGAGGGTGTTATCAGCCAAGGCAGATAACACCCTCCTTGATCTCCATAATTCTTCATATGATACGAAAGCCGATTCAATAATTCTTTTATTATTCATTCAAAATAAATCCTAGTTTAAAAACGTAGCTAAAACATGCTTTCCTCCATCAATGTTAAGTTCATCTTCGACAGTGCACGTTTAGGATTGTTCAGCTCCTCAAACATTCTCCAAATAGTAGATCTCGCCCTTCGAGTTGTCTTCTTGCTGTTCCTGCCATGTTTTTAGCTATTTTTTCGCCTAGTTCTTACTCTTGAAACGAGTGAAATGTCTGCCATTTTTGTTTTCATAACCAAAACAACTCAACCTTGTTCCCAGGTCTTCTCAGTTAACGGTGCATTAACCTACAAGGAACCTGCACTTTTGATGTCATCGGTTGATTAATTGCGAAATTCTTCCAAATTTGGTCATCAGTAGCTGGTTATGGTGAATTATATGTGTGCTTTTAGCCAATCAGAATCGGGGAAACATTTAGAACGAATAATAATGAGTGTTAAATAATGGCCTTGTAATTTGTTTAGAATTCTGGTTTTCAACTGGAAACATACCCGTATCTAGATGAAAACATAAAATAAAATCACTGATGTCATCTGATCTGTAATCTGACAACTACCAAGTGCGGGAACTGTTCTAAATCCTTCCTGCGTCGCTATTCACTGACGCACTGGACTCAGCCTTACGATGGCAGGCTAGGGTTCCCTTCACTTTCCCAGACATGTTAACTCTTTGCTGTTAAATCTCGGTTGGTAGGTCTGCAAGAGCGACAAAGAACAGCGCAAATACAACAGTAAAAGACCGACAAGGACGAAGTATGCTGAACGATGGGTTTTGACATTCAGACATCATAGGGACATACGTACCACCCCTCCCCTACGAGGGCCTCATTGTTTCCCGGAATGTGAAGGAACACGTAATTGATTCTGTTTTCCAAAAGCACGAAATGACACTGAAATGCTGTTTTAGGTTTTCAAAATGTATTTTTCAATAGCCCAACTCCTGCGTTATTAACTTAAACGCAGAGAGGACTAGCGTACAAATGAACAAAAACAAAGGTCCTGACCAGGGTAAATGTTCAATAGCCGTAAAGTCGTCAGGGGCAACCCAACGTAAAAACGTATAAACTCTAAATTTTTTTCACGATTTCTGTGATATTCTTAAAAACGGGCAAACACAGTGATTTTCGAATTAGTTCCTTCCAAGTAGTAGATGCATGAGGAATTTTACAGTTTAAAAGAAAAACTGAAAAATTTTTTTGTGGGGACGCTGTCACAAAATTATAGACGTTTGTATGGATCTTTAACCATGTTTCAAGAGTCATAACTTGGTTACTGTTCAATTTTAGAGCACCAAACTTGGTCCAATAACCAATCTCAACATGACCTTTTATATGGTGGTGTCAGTTTATCGATTAGTTTAAATTTGAAACTCGCCCCAGTTCCCTACGTAACTCCGAAATGGATAATTTTTGGAAAATATCTTCGGAAGACGATTTGAGATCTCGAATTTTCGGAACATTTGTTGTAAACTTTCTTGCTTGCTTGCCTCTCCTAGGATTTTCGAACATCTAAAAAATGGTGTAATTGTCCATTTTTAAAGGTAAGTTTTGATCCCTATAATTTTCGGATCACTAGACTTTCAGCTAGGAAATCCGAAAAGATGAAAAATTTTTAGGGGATAAAAATATGCCTTTATCTACCGTTTAAATACTGAAACACGTTTAACAATGCTATCTTTAAGTGTTTTTGAACTGTATTTTCGTTGGGTGCCCCTGAGTCGTGGGGCGTACAGTAGAAGACCAACTGAAGGAGACAACGATCGAAGCCAGCAAGACAGGTAAAGGTTTCATCAATGTCAAACTCTGGAAATGATGAGGATACCGATTTGCCGAGTTAGGATTTTCAAGTTGGATTGCAAGTTAGGATCCCCTGGGTGTCAAGCGAGCGAAAGTAATGCGAGCCGAGGGGGCGCCTTCCCCCCAATTTCCCATCGGCTCGTTCGCTCGCTCCAGTCTCGCCCAGCCTGTTTTCGTGATTGGCTTACTCGCGCGATTGACTGAAAAGGGACACTGCATTTTAAGCACATTTCAATAAACATTTCTTTGATTGAATAGGTTAAAGTTTTGGAAACGCGATATCTTGTCTACAACGCGAAAATAGGTTATTCTTTAACTGATGCTTTCTGGAGTATACATAGAACTTTCTGAAAAAGTAGATTGTACAAAAACGGTCAAACGTTTCGCCAAGTTTCTGTTTTCATTTTTCGAGAAAGCTCATGGATACTGATGTTATATGGGATAGAAGTAGTACCACTGCTATGTCAACATTTTAAATGTGTATTCTTACTTTATTTTCGTCTCAGTAGCACTTTACAGTATAGGTGAAAATTTCAAGTACAAGTTTTGGAATTTATACGGCTTGCTAAATTAGATGTTTCGGCGGTGCGCGCGAACTCAATTTGTCGCAAATTTCTCGCAGTCTCCCATGCAAAGCAAGGCTCGGAATGGCGCGGAAAGCCTAAAAAAATCCAGGGCGATCCTCGCTTTCCTCTTTTTTGCGCGCTTTGTCAGCACAGAAAGGCCAGGAAATTGTAATGGTATTCCAAAAACAAGCGCCAAAAATAAGACAGGTAAATGGGAATGAATTCCAGTTCACGGTGCAACTAACTTCAGGAAGCGCTCCAGCAAAAATTGATTGAAACAGTGATAAAAACTGTAGTTAGGTTTCGTTAGAAATCAGGTTAATGTCAAATTATAATAATTATTGTATGGCTGCTGTTGTTGAACGGGATTGCTAATTCTCAAAATAAAAACTTATGATCACAACTTATCTTACTTCTGAATAAATCTATTCGCCTTAAAAATTAACACGAAAAGCGATCTTTGCAAGATAATCAATTTCGGTTTCTAATATCAATTTCTTTACTCTAACAAAACAAATCATATGCAAAAACTTTAGTTTTCACTAAATAATACACGAGCTGTTTTAAAAACAGCCAATGAGACATCTCGCAGTTTTAGCTAGATGAAAGAATAAAGAGATTGAAACAATGTCTACTTTTTGCCATAGACGTAAACGGTGTGGTCGAAGCCTCTCATGTATTGGGACGTAACTTTCACCTTAACATGTTTTTGGCCCGGCCCACCGCTGATGATTTCTGGGTCGCCACCAGTGTCATCGTCCCAGTTATCTTTGGCCACTACAGCAGTGATCAACCTGTTCCCGCTGTATTGAAAAACGTGGGTTACACGACCTAGCATTTTATAACCGGGACGTTTTTGCTCTTCGTGTAACAGAATATCTCCGGGCTGTGCTTTCCCTACAAGTAGATTATGTCGTCCCTGACCACTGGATAGCAATTCGTTCACAGCTCCCAAAGCTTCTCCGGCTTGGTTGACAAGCATCACAGCACCACTAATCGCTGCAAACACTTCCATGTTACTTCCTGTTTTACGAAACGATGCTGTTCACTCAGCCAGTACCTAAGGCATGGAAAAATGATTTGTCAAGTTCAATTTTGGCACAAATACTTAAATTATGCTCTTTCATAAACATTCGCAGAACTTTGGTGTGATTCAAAATGAAGAAGGCAAGGCAGAGAAATGATATCATTGTACAAACAGATTGCAAGTTTTGGATTATTACTCATGCGCGTAGCGTCATGAGTCTAAAAATGCCCGTCGTTTTTCTTTTTCTTTTTATTATTATTTTTAGTGTCGCGATTGTGCACTTCCAGTCCATAGCTTTGCTATATACACTTCCGGTCACACTGGATTTCAAGATGGCGGAAAAATCTCTTCGTCTGTTGAGTTGAAAAGCACAGAAGGATAAGTTTTCAAGACAGTGCAAGGCATTCATGAATGGATTGTACCATTTGATATTCTGTTCGCGGCTTATTACTGTGGGATTTTTGTTACGGCAAGCTTTGTGATTTATATCACTTGCCATTTCAGTTCGCGATCGGTCGGCTGTTGAATGTAGTGAAATACGGTATCAGAAATTTAGAGTAGTCTCACTTTTTAGACATAATTTTAAGCTTATGTTTCTCCGTAAAAGCACTCTAAGCGTAAAAGTTGTCAACTCATAAAAATGTAAAACCGATCTATTGGATTTTTGAACAGAGACACGCAATTTTTCGCTTGTTTACTTTAAAATGATAAAATTCGCCCCCATCTTCCCATGTAGGGCAGTGTAGTCTACTGGATATGAGCTGAACCCTGAGGCAGGCGCCCCGGGTTCGACTTCTTGTGGCGACCAAAATTTCGTTCTTTTTTATTTATTTATTTATTTTTTAAATTCTCTTTCAAACTGGACATTGTGAAAGTGATGTACTTTTCTTTTGCGTTTGAAGTCATTCAATTCCCCCAAAAAAATCGACTCGTGTTTATACTTGAAGTGCACGCTATTCTTCATAGTTGCAACTACCAACTAAAGATGGGTACTTTACGCCACAGGGTTTGCTAAAAATACTTAGTTAAAATTTAAGATAAAACGTTCTTACGCATGCGCATGCGCATGAGTATAGGCTACTCGGAGCCTCTTGTTACAAGACAAATGAGCTTTTGAAACAATATTTCATCTATTTTATCACAGAATAATAGTCACTTAATGCTATTTTTCAAGAAGGCAACTGAAATATCTTAGGTAATCCAGTTTCATCACATCGTCGAAAGAATTAAGATATCAAAAGACAGTCATCTCACATAATTCTTGCTACTTATACAACCTTAGGTAACACTCAGCCGGAGTCTTCACAAAAAAACCAAAAGTCTTCATAAATTGCTCATTTCCTAGCGTATTCTCTTAAAACACAAAAACACTATTCCCATGTAAGCTAACAAAAGAATACCATTAATATCAACAACACTGATAAAGCGACTGAACAATTTTTTGCAAATACCAACGCTAAATCTGACTTAAGATTCTTTTTAAACTTTTCTTATGAGCGTTTAAAAAACTGAATCAATTCGACTCGAATGAGCACGGGATGCAACAAAATATCTCAGTGTTAAAAACGAGCTCAAAAAATACGAAAAACACTGCATGCAGTGATAGTACTGACACATGCATAAGAAAATATTACTTAAAAACGCAGATTTTAGTGGAGAATAAATTTTTTACCTTCTCTCGACAGATCTATGAAGTTCTGAATTCTGAGGGATGTGTCGAAAAGCTTCTCGTTTTGACCGTCTAGCTTGAGTCCTGGACTGGCTGATCTAAATGTTACTCTGTCGGACCTCTGTATTTATTGAGGTGATAAATAATGCGTTTTTTTTGGAACTTACCGCAAAACACACATTAATCACAGTTATCTGACAATGATGACGCAGTCTTAAACAAGAAGAACAAAACGTGTTTGCAATCGAAATGTTTCAAGCGTTCGCGTGGCAAAATAAGGTTTTAACAAGATTGACCAATCAGAGCCGAGCCACGTGAAAAATAATTTGCCCACAGAGATGGTCCTTTAGACACGCCTTAACGGCAGCCTACCGCGTAATTAAAACTTCCCGTGTACTCTGAACTATCTTCGGTTGAACGATAATTACAACGTCCTGTTTACTAACTTGCACAATGTTATGCTTGGACCTTTGACTTTCCTCGGCCAAATTGTTAATAGTTTGGCCACACCTTCGAGTATTTAACGACTCAAAAGAATTTTCCTATATCCAAAAATAAATCCATCTCTTCGTGACAAGCGTGGGTGGGGCTTTTACAGATAAAGAGCGTCATCTTTATTTATCTGACGTCGCTGTGAGAGGTTTAATGGACTATGCACCAACTAGGATCGAAATCTACAGGACATGCGTGGTGTTGAGAGATTTAATGAATGATCATGGTACTTGTTTGACGAGCCGCTTTAGTTTTTTTGACCATTTTTGGTAAGAAAAAACGACCACATTAATTACGTTTGTGAGTGCATTGTTTCTAAAGCAATATGGAAAAACCTAGGGGGTGGGGGAAGTTGGTAAGCAAAAATGTTAGAGTCTAAAATTAACACTGGATCCTTGCAAGGCAGGGCTTTATTGATTAGTTTTGTTACCAACAGTTGGCTTGTTACTTAGTATAGTTTGCTTAATGTTTTTTGTTAATGTTTTTACTTGTTTTCTGTATATGTGATATACCTGAAATCATAAAAATCGGTGTATAAGTAAATTGTACCAAATACTTAACTGAATATGAAAAGGTACTTAAAATGTGCAGTGTGAGTCACACTCGTAGAACTCAAAACGACCAACTTCATCTAATGACTGTTAACCATCAGGACATGACGTACGACACCGATTTTTTAAAAACAGTAACAGCAATAGATTTGGAATAGCTGCACGAGAAGCTTTTATACGAATGATCCGTACAAGTGAAATGTATAGAGGTTACTTCATCTTCTCATAAATTAAAGTTTTTGAAAGTGTTTTTCTAGCGCCGGTCAGAAGATTGTAATAACGTGTCCGTATTTGCACTCGTTTAGTTTGATGCGTATTTGCACTCTATAATGCTTTGTCGACTATTAAAACCCAAGTAAATGACTCATGCAGTGCTCTGAGAAAGCGGTAACTACAAAACGGTAAATGTAAATATGAGGTGAAATCAACTGATAGTAGCCTGACAAGGATTCCGGTTTGTGTTCTTGCCATTTCGTCAACGTTCGTTTTGGAGCCTTGTGCACGAGGAGAGGCAAACATGAACTTAACCTAACTTTACACCAGTGTTTTTGATATTCAGGAACACTCTCCATCTCTACATAAGCCGTCTCGGCTCACATGAGGAATAAGCAGGCGTTTATTGTATGAAGTTTGAAAACCTTACTGACTTCTTGTCAGTCATCTTGAGTCATCAGCCATGATGAAATAACCAGGTAGAGAGGCAGTCTTACCATGTATGTCTAAATTTGATAATGAGACAAATTATTATTGGCACATCAGCTTTACCGAGTTTATAAGTTTTAATCGGCGTGGGGGCATTTTGCTGTTGTGGCCAGGGTCCATTACATTTAATTTCGCTTTTCAGCTCGTCAGTAAATTTATGAATGTCATTACTGCGATAATTGCGTTACAAGAAAGTTCCATCTCTGTACATTTTCTTAACTTTCTATCCCAACTTTTTGATAAGCATTACTGATCAACTTTGTGGTTGTTTGGTGATGTATATCTACATTCTACTGAGAACTAAAGATAAAATAGAATTTTACATGTGAAAAACACAAACAGTTTACTTAGGCGGGCATTCCGCGAGTCGTCGATCCGTGATTGATAGAAAGATTGCATTTTCAACGAAGGGTGCTTACAATTTGTCTGTCTATGGTATCTGCGAGGCATCGTCTCCACTGTCTGGCAAAAATTTGCTCATGTCAAAACATTGATATTAATGCAAAAGCAGTAGGAAGTGCCGAATTGAGGGCGAAACAAAGTCAGCAAAGTTTAAAATATTAGTCGCGAAGTGACCATCCTGTTTAATTTACACAACTCTTGCTGGTTTCGTTGGTTATTAATTTCCTTTTCAACTTTGGCTTCCCCGTTGCTATATTATGCGGCATTTTGACTTAATTCCTGTTTTCCAAAGCAATTAAAAGCGTTCTTTGAGCACTTGCGTATACTCTAATCTGCCTTTAAGGACTAACTGGGTTGAAGTACGGTTTGCTGTCGAGTTCTAACTCGGTTTTCGTTTGTTTATTCAACATTGACCTTAAATAAAAGTAGAAGAGTGTAACTGAATGTGTCAGTATTTGCACGCGTTAAATTTGATACGTATTTGCACTCTAAAATGCTTCGTCTAATAAAAAACAGGGGCACCCAACGAGAATATAGTTCAAAAGCACTTAAACATAGAATTGTTAAACGTATTTTAGTATTTAAACGGTAGATATAGGCATATTTTTATCCCCTGGAAATTTTTCATCTGTTCGGATTTCCTAGCTGAAAGTCAAGTGATCCGAAAATTATAGGGATCAAAACTTACCTTTTCGAAAATTTTAGCCAGAAAAAAGGCTCCCGAAAATTCTAGGTGACCTTTTTAGGGTAAAAATCCGTTAAAAATAGGCAATTATACCTTTTTTTAGATGTCCGAAAATCCTAGGAGAGGCAGGCAAGCAAGAAAATTTACAACAAATGTTCCAAAAATTCTAGATCTCAAATCGTCTTCCGAACAGATATTTTTCCGAAAATTGACGTTGGGTGCCCCTGAAAAAACCCAAGTAAATGACTCATGCAGTGCCCTGAGAAAGCAGTACACTACAAAACGGTAAATGTAAATCTGAGGTGAAATCAACTGATAGTAGCCTGACAAGGATTCCGGTTTGTGTTCCTTGCCATTTTGTCAATCGTTTTGGAGCCTTGTGCATGAGAAGAGGCAAACATGAACTTAACCTAACTTTACACCAGTGTTTTTGATATTCAGGAACACTCTCCATCTCTACGTAAGCCGTCTCGGCTCACATGAGGAG